AATACATCAAAGAGAAAATACTTTGGTTCGGCAAAAATTGTAAATGGAGACAAGTTTACAATGTGAACATCAACAGATTTTGTTTCAATACCAACACACTATATCTTCCTGAGTATTTCTCAGATAAGTTAATTCTATCGATATAAGTAGATATTGTTCTCTTCGTATTTTCGGTGGAAGTTGCGTATATTTGGGCTTTAAATCTTCCTATAGTTTTATCTCCTTATACCCGATATTTCCTTCTAAGTTTCATTTTTTGCCATCTTTTTAACCATGAAGGATGTAAGAAAATCAAAAGAGCTGGATGACACAAATGTGGCATATTTCTCCATTCATTTGGTAAGAACAATCTTGAACAAAACTGTGTCTTTTTTCTGTAATTCCATAAAGTTTAGTGTTCCCAGCATGTTAATATTTTGTTTTCTCGACTTTTACAGCTCGGCAATTCAGTTGTTCAATGTGTATGAATATAAAACAGGTGTAACGTGTTTTGGGGTACCACTACATAAGCTTCTGCTCCTGTGCAGTCCTTAGGTGGATCTGACCACCTCGTTATATAGTGTTTTAATACTCGGGTGGTAGTCTTATTGAGATTTCCCTTATCTAGGATAAGGTATTTACTATTGGAACGTTTATGGAATGTCTTCTTCAGTGCCCTTTCATACAGCAACTCTTCTCATCACATTCTGCTCAGCCTCAAACCCATTGGGAGAGTCCAGTATATCACACGACGAAACCATTCGTCACACAACACGTGGTGCAAACGTATAATCAACGTTTTCAAGCTCTTTAATAACGTAAGCCATGTCTCGTACGCGTTTGTAAAGGTATCGTCTATAAAGAGACCTAAATAGAACATCAGAAACAAATTACTACCTTTATTGACAATAAGACACGTATGAAAGATTAATCAAGTGGTCTTATTCATTATTCGCTGTGTTTTGTTTATAAAACTGGGATGGGTAGTTAGCCTTGATCTTATTATATATATAAACAAACCAAACAATATCGCCTCAATGACAAGCCCTTGGTTCCCTCTCAACATCGATAAAACATTGGACTACATTGTATGTATATCAACAAAGAATTGTTTACCAAGTCAACCTTGGAAAACAAATAGCAGTTGATATTTGAACCAGAGGTTACCGGTCTGTAATCTATGTAAAAGTAAATGAAAGCACGGTTATGCTTTGAAAGCCATTCTAAAGTCAAATCATCATCTGATTACCACAAAGCTGAATTGTTAACAGATTTTGTTCCTGATCCTTTCCACCAAACTCTACGAAGATATTGTCAAACATTCAACAATCTTCTTTTTTTCCTGAGTGCGCTTCATTCTAAATTTTTGGTCCAGTATAGTTCACAGCCGTATATTGATATCTTCGGACGAAAATGATGGAGTTGTACAGACGAAATACAAAATCTACATCGATATGTTAATCATACGATCGAGAAATTTTAAAATCTTGTTCGTACGACTTAATCTTTTTTTTCCCTCGAAAATATTTATTTTCGGTAAAAAGTAAGCGCTTGTTATTGAGAAAGTGTGGTTCTCTGGAATAGTCCTGACTCGGATTTATACTTCCAAGGATTCCAACATTGATTTGTGAACAGCATGGTTGGCAGTAGTGTGAAGCGTTTCCACGCTGTTCGGACCTCTCCAGTTCATATTTTTATTGTTTGAACTTTATAATTATTCTCTTTGAATCACGTTGTTTAAAAAACAGTCAAAGAAGGCGTCCAATCAGAATTTATTTGTTTGGGTTGAGTCCGATAACCTATTAAACTCTAATTAATTCAAAAGCTCTTCACTACAAGAATTCTTTTTAAAAACAACACGAGGCGTAATCTCAATCAAAGCATGCAGTCTCAATGAAAGATGCCACCATTCAAAATGGTACCCAAGGAGACAGCATCATCAACCTTATAATGTCAAGAGTCAAACGTCACTTTAATGGTCTCCATTAGAGATCTAATGCTGTCAAAATATATTTTGCAATTCAGTAAGTCATCCATGAAAGCAACTGTATTAAGAACACGTACATATTTGCATCAAGTGAATACGCATTAGAACTATACTACCGAATATACATTAAAAACATGCAAGCCAAGTGTTGACATTTTATCTGCTAGCAATGTCGATCCAGTTTTCAATCCAGTTTTATCAGTAATAAAATACCGACGCCCCAATATAATCCCGTCATGTCAATCTTGATCAATCCAATAAATAGCGTCACGTTCTAAAATGAAAACAATATTAAGGAGACTTGACGTTACGTAAAACACAAGTAATGTTTGCACACATTTAGTGATGTTACTTCATATTTGTGTACCGGGCATTTTGCAATGGGATGTAAATTTCGTGTTGCGCGAAAGAGAACTCCTCCATATATAGAGTATGAAAAAATACGTCTCAGTGTCCATAATATCGGGAAGAGATGAGAGGGGATGGTTTACGCATTTTGAAAGCGATTGTAACGAAAGTAGAATTCCTTTAGCTGTCATGACCATTAGTTTTTCTAGCTAACAATTTCAGTTGACGTAAAATATATCGACACATGGCCAGACTCCAATAGTGACTATAATGCCGAGAGTGAGATCGGATTGGACGATTGTATCCCTACTGGATTCTCGGACTGGAAAGAGGGACGTCCAGTCGAGGAATTATTAGTGTTAGCGGAAGCAATATATATTTTAAAATATGAACTAAAGAAAGAATAGAAAGTTATAACCGTTTACATTATTAGAGAGACTACTCGAACACGACCTATTCCTTGGTTTTATGTTTGAAATCAGGCGGGCGATACAGGCAAACTGGGTTGCTGCATACAAGGATTTTATGAATGACCGATAAATATATATATATATATATATCATTGTTCATCATAATGTTACAAAAATGTCAAAAAGTTTATATATTAAGACTGTAAACATGCATGATGTATGCGTTATGTAATAATACTATCCAATTAAAAAAGCTCACTTGGCTTTTCATAGATATCTCTTGCATCTTGGTCTCTAGCATCCATTAATTTTTTATTATTTATTTTTCGCATTTCATCGTTAACGGTTCTCTTCTCCCATATAATTCATCTATACAAGTAAAGACTTGTTAGATGGTTTAATGTCCAAGCCTACTACTAAACGTTTCTTCAAGATTGTAGTACATATTTATATTTGCAAGGAAAACATAATCGTACAAGAAAACTTTTGTTTCAATATTTTTTATTGCCTTCGTTGTTCCCACGTCACATATTGTTGGATCGAATGATCACAGCTGTGACAAATACTGTAAAAATAATAATGAAACTGAACGTCTAACAAATAAATAACATCCTAAACATGATAAGGACACATTAAAGAGATCAATAACTTTGTAAATCAATTAACAGTTATAAAAGTTGTCATCATTTAATTACTGGACTAGTTCTAGAGAATCTTCAAGTATTACACATAATTTGTTTAAAACAACGCTGTCATCGAGAAAACGAGACACAGGCACCAAGTTTGTAAGAAATAAATCAATGTATTCACATGGTGACCCGAATGTGTCTCCTTTTCCATTCTTTACTGTGATATCACTTCGTACAATTCCTGCGTATCTTTAAATTATATTGTAATTAAAATGACAAAATAGAACGTTAATGATTACAAGGAATATTTTATCATTGGCAAACTTGTGTGCAGAAAAATAGGTTGATATTCAATTATAACACACCAATGAAACAGAATTCGTTCGCACGTAAAGATGATATGTTACAGAATGAATCTACAAAGAAATATAATTATTATGTTCAATTTTCTTAATTTGATCTTAGATAAAATTTTATTCTTCAAATTTAAGATAGATGGAAATCAAAAAATAAAAAGCGACAGTTTCGTCAATTAATCTGAAGCACGAGGATCAGGACATCCAAATACCAACAAACATTAAGTACTAAAATACCACGATGGCCACCGCAGCGAAAGAGATGGCGTACATTTATTCTTCGGTAGCAAAATATGTATTTCACACAATACTAAACATACGTGATTAGGCGATCAATTTTATCGACATTCCGTTTTTATTTCAAATTGAGTTCATTCAATTTTAACTCATTATCATTTCATCAACCTCTTGGCCTCTTATGTAAAATCTCATTGTAATACATCATATATCAGAACAAAATATCAACTCTACAAATATTTAATCTTCAGATGTAAAGACAAAGCAATATTATGCATATTCATTGCTAGTAAATAATCTTTGTATATATATGTATATAAACCTTATTAATGTTATAACAAGCTTTGAGCGATAGGTCTTACAGTGGAGGAAACCGGAGAACCCGGGGAAAGCCCACGTGGTCGGACATGCGAAAGGCGAGTATGTTACCACTGCGCAACCCGATCACTCTTTGTACCTAAATTCAGCTAAACATGAAGATGGTTTCTCCCAAGACTCTCTTCAATAATCTCACTAACGAACTATTCATAAACATAGATTCATGCTCAATTTTTTTTCTAAAAAGTATTATTGTATGTATAAGCTGTTTTCGTTTCTTTCTAACATTGATAAATAACATACCGAAAGAATAATGACAAAGGTAACATCACTTGCATGATACACTTAAAATAATATGACCTGGAATGTAAAATACATGAAAACTTCGTCCTTCGTCTCAGCAAACAAAATTTTATGGAGTTATATTGTAAATGATGGTTATGTTTTAGTGTCCACCATGTGATTTAGCTAGTTGTCAAATTTTGTGAAAACATGGCTTATCCGTTTTCAGCGACGGATCTAAACTGTGAAATGTTGATTATACCGACATCGCCACCAGGAAAGTAACACCGTTGACTAGCTACCGGGACATTCGTCACAGAAGAGACAATAAATGGTAATTTGCTCAACAATTGACCCTTTCCCGAATAACTGCTGATCATAAGATATTAATTTTGCACTTCTAGAACCTAATTTCGCTTATCATACACCGATTCTTATTTACCACATCTACATTTTATGAAAATCCTATCCATCCCGGGTGGAAATAGTCTCTGTAATCTTTACTGAACTGTTTCCGTAGCCCAGATCCTTCTTTAGCCGGCCACTGGTAGAAAGTGACTTCCCCACCGGTCAGCCAAGCTGCCCACCAGCTAAACGTACCGACAGTGCTGATCATGTGATCACATGAACCAAGAATAGCCAAGTCTACTGCAGCGGAATTGCCCTTTATGTATTCCAAACGGACACCTTTCGGTATATGTGCCTGTGTCCACTTCATGTCATTGGAACAGGTAAGAAACACTGGATTTTTGAATTCTTTTGATCGAAAATAGTCAATTGCTTTTGTAAGGTAATCTTCACTAGCAACCATATAACCAAATCTGTGATTTACGAAATCTCCTCTCCTCACATGAATACCTATAAAAGTCACGTTTGAACGCGACGTGAAATTATGTCTTTTTAATATTGAATCTATCACTTTATTCTTACTTTCAACAATATCATCCTGAAATACGAACTGTTTCCGGAGAGCACTGGAAGCGTTATAAAAGTACTTCCATGACTGAAGATATGTTCCTAACCTGTAATTATTATTTGGTGGAAAGGAAGCCATTTTCTCATCATATCCACAATTTAGTCGTTCTCCTCTACCCACGTATGTTTTACAAAGAGCTTTATTATTGTCTTTCAGATTGATGTCAAGTTTGAAAACTTTTGTTAAATAATCCGTTTTCCCAACTGTTACAGACATTCCTTTTCTGGCAGCTAATCCGAATATTGCGGCGAACATGAACATTTGGTTGCCAAGGCCTCCAATAAAGTTAGTGCATAAGCTGTAGTTGGCAAATCTTAAAGGAGAAATGTTTGTAGGAGGGTTTTCTGTTGGCATGACATTGCGTTTACTAGATGACGTTGCATTTTTTGGTATATTTGTAATGTGAGTGACTGGCGTTGACGCCACAGGTTTTGAAGTTGTTGGTTCTGTCTTAACTATAGAAGGGAATGTCGTTGTCATGAAAACCCTTGTCAAGATATTTTCATCTTTGTCCATACTACTCTGTGTAGCTTGAAATAAAGGTGGCTTTGGATTATTTACTTTTAATGAAGGTAATGATCTCAGAAAGGTTATATTTTTTCGAATAATGTACTTCAACATCGACGTTTGCAAGTGTTCTGGACCGAAATTCATTCCTATGTACATCACCACACCGCATGCAACGAGGCAATAACTGAAATCTGAAAGCAAAAGAACAAAGTTTATGTGACAACTGCAATCTGAAGAGTAATAACAAGCGAAACGGTCCAAGGAGTCTAGATTGAACTTCTGGTTGAGATAATGTTGATGTAACCATTCCTGACATCTCATCACAAGGGTTATTGCATTAGCTTATCATAGTTTTTTGATATATATATAATGGTATTTTAGTTATTTATGATTTTAATCAAAACTTTGTGTCGTTAATTTCATCAGAATAGACCTTCTATATATCAAATGTAACTGACAACCGACGTCATTGTGACTAAAAGCGTTTTACTAGTAGCATTTCCTTTCTGTGAATACGGTTTTTCCGATTGTCATATGACGACAAAACAAATACCACAAAAGATGACATGAAAATCATTTAGTTGTCTATTATCAGGGGCATTATGTTTCTGAGACATCCCCCCTCCTGGAAATCCTATTCGTGATTGCTGTCTATACTGTGTCCACTGACTACATTTTCAACGTATTTCACTTTCATGTAAGCTCATTGATTTTATATCAAAAGAGATAAACATATAGACACAAAACAAGAGACACAAACATACAAGCCAATATCATTTATATGTAAAAACAATTTCAACACAGAATATCGATATTCGGTTCCGATTCATATGGAAAGAATGTATTCTAAAGATATCTTAATTACACGCTTGCGAATCATTTATAGTTAGTAGCAAAAACCACATTAGAATTTTACATAAACGCGCCGTCTTTTTGAATGATTTTTGTCGAACTTTCATTGTAATCTTTTACAATCATCTAGTAAATGTCGACACACTAGACATGAGAATAATTAATTGCTTTGCTATGTCTTACTAAATATGTCTTAAACAATTCACATACTGGTTAGGGTTAAGGTTAGAGTTGCTGAAAATGTTAAAATATTGAAATACATCCATACTTACGTCGTTTGTGATTCATAGCTTGATATTAAGTTTTTGCTGTCCCCGTGTTCAGTAATCTGCAACAAAGATTTAAAGATAAGATCCAACATAAAATAGAAACGTTATGTTGTGAAGTGATTTTCATATAGGCATACTGTCAAAAGAAGTTTCTTTTATCAAATCAAGAACCCTTACTACCGTTGTTTGCTGTGGACCATGAATCTTTAATGTGTCCCCTATAACTAACTGTACATCAAAACAACTATAATAGATAAAGTCAGATATAAACATAAACAATCGCATATTGACAAGATAAATAATTTAAATAGGAGTAACAAATTGATTCTATACAAACCTATCAAAGAAAAACTGCAAAAGAGAAGTAATCTGCCTGATTTTAATTTAAGAATGCTTTTCACCGACTTCGATTGTGCGGACAAGACTTTGAAGTAGCCAATGGTAGAGTACAAACATTCCCATAATGCAAAGATATGTACAGTCTGTAACTCACTGGATAAAGAAATGCATTTCTTTTTCGATTACTTCGTTAATAAATCGGTCAGGTCCAAGTTCTATATCTAAGTTGCAGAAATCTTTAACCGTAATATAAGTGATCACACTAACTTTTTTTCAAATATTGACGTCCCAGCAATAAGACGTTGTTTTTTTTATGGAATTCTAGTGTAACGAGAATGGCCCATGTCCTTACCTTTTGTTGACAATCTGAATGTCAGTAATTGATTCATGCTAAGCGAATTTGTATTCTTTGTATTCCTGTATAAGAGGATAATATCTAGGTAATCCTAGTTATTTTTGCATCATATTTTAAAGTATGCGGTTTTGTCATGCAATCCTTTCACTTATTATTATTTTTTTTCAATCACTAACAACTGAGATAACGATTTCTTTACGTTCCGACACAACAGTAGATTGGCAGCTGTTGTTTCACTGATGTTCAGAAAATCGAAATCCAATGAGATGAAACTTCATTCCCCATCCCTTAAGAAATAGTGACACAGTAATGACAACTACTGTGTATTTAAACATACGTCAATTTAATTTACGGGACAATATGTACAGGATATGTAAACGTGCGTTCAATTATCAAAAGCTGTTACATCAGTAGTCTAATGTTACATCTGTGTCAAAATATTAATCTATACATGTGTAGATATAAAACTATTACATCAACAAAATAGGCATTTCAATTCTAATAATTCTATACAGGACACAAAACCGGAGATGCAATGGAACGACCACCCATTCAAGTGTTCTCTAATCTCAACATCGCTAAACTTCGGAGAGGGAATGGATATATAGTACCATACATATTATATTGTTTCGTCATCATCTTACTTTCAACAACTTTCAATACAAATTAAAATAATGTGTTTAAATTTGTCATGCAGCTGTTTGCTATCATTATAGTTTAGCCATTCACACGTATATGTAGTACTTTCAAACTTTATCCGTGTGCATGCAATATAAAGTTAGTAATGTTGAAATGTTATCTTGTTATTTCGTGTATCCTGTCCTTGGTTATAATCTATCATACTTCAGAACTATCATGTGTACGTGAATCTTAACGTCAGCCATCATTGTAAATATCATTCTGTGGTTTTTTGTTTTTGTTTTTTTTGTTTTTGTTTTTGTTTGTTTGTTTGTTTGTTTGTTTGTTTTTTTTTTGAAGTGGTCCTAATCTTGAAACGTTGGGCGCGTAAATATTTCATTTCAAACAGTTTCAAACAATAGTGATAATTTCGTATTTTCCCTTTTAAGGCCAAAATAAAAATATGCATTGTTTAGCGTAATCAGTCCGACCCAGAACAACCGTTCAGGCATACAAGATTTTTATTGCAAAATGAAAATGATATTTATTTGAACTATGAAATATCGGCTATTCCGGATATTTCTTTCCGGAAGCAACCATTGATATTAAATATGAATTATTGCTAAGTCATGTGAAGCGAGCTCTACATTGAATCTTGAGAATAATCTTACCCCATACCATCTCCAAAGCAGATTATGTAGGAAATTATGCAAGACGGACAGCATTAGAAGTGTGGTGATGTCCTTACGTCCGACATCGCACGATGAGGATTTTGAAAATAAAAGTGGAGCGAGCGCAGTATTATCACTTGTGTATTTCGTTGTGAGATTTCCACTTCTGCGTCACAACTTTGTGATTAATAATATGGATTATTTTTTTACCTTTTTTCTTCGCACGTGTTATCTTTTGGGGTTGCTTTACAGAGTCGCACGAGCTACTCACACTACAAAAACTTACATGCATCGAAAAAATGACTTCGAAGATTTTCCGGCTGATCAATGTGGTTGGGCACATTTGAGAAGAATGTGTAAAAAAAATTAATAAAGAAATTGAATTGATCTTAGGTAGGATGTTAGTTAATTTCTTACGTATTTATGTAATAACTATATATAACTATATATATATAAAAAAAAAAATAACTAAACCACCCTTCCAAACGTTATTTTTTGTCACAAAAAATATGAACGTCTTGAAACTGGAAATATATTTTGTAATGTATGTAAACTTACCAGGTTCATGAATATCCCTCTGATGTGAAATGATAGGGACACTGACTAGGCCGCATTAATCCTATCAAAGACTCACGCTGACTGAAATGGCAGTCGGATACTTGACTTTTCTTTCAGTAACACATGCATATCGACTGGTGAGAAATACAATAGGTTGCTCTAAATACACATTGAAATGGTGTTTGGACCATGTATTTTTGTTTTGTGTGTGTGTGGGTGTGGGTGCATGTGTGTGTGTGTGTCTGGAGGGAGGGGGGAGGGCTGGATCAATAACGAAAAATAATTAAAGTCAATCCTCTATTCATTTTATTCTCTATAACCTTATTAAGTATGGAGAAACCTTTTTCATATAAATTGTGAAATGCTTTAATGTCTTAATTTTTATCTTATTTTGAATGTAATATGTAATATTTATGGATATTTGATAAAGTTTCAATAACAAATATTTGATTCATCCTACTTATATTATTGTATATATATATATATATATATATATATATATATATATATATACATTGTACTTGTGTTTGTTTACACGTTTGTTCACCAAACACTGACATAGTTATTGATTCTAAAGTTTCGCTGGTGTGGTGTTGCTAGGGTCAGAAAATTTTACAGCGTGTACCTCATCAGAAACCACTTATATTGCCAGTAAGTCTTTGCGACTGTTTGGGCTTTGCGGGATATTCTAACCTATTTTCTTGGTTTTTCCGTTTAAATACATTATCTTTGTCCAGCTGGTTTTTCAGTTCCTTGTCTCACGCTTGCATTGCTCATTTTTAACTACATGGTACTTAAAATGGCCCAAGTTATAAAAATCAACATATTACAAGTAGATCATCCCTGTTTTTCGTCTTTTGTTCATTTTGCTGACACGAACGTGGCAATCAATGACCAGTACACGTGAAATAATGAAATGATCGATAATAGTCTTGATTTTTATTATGGTGTAAGTAACGAGAAGTCCATTGATAATAAGAGGGTCATGGCACTTAACGGTCATTTGACAATCGACGAATTAACGGACAGACCATAGAATTTGCTGGTGTTGATCTAATCATTTGGAACATTCCTTGAAAGTATCAGAAATTCATAGTAGGTTCAGCTAATGAAAAATTGTTGTGCATGTTACAAAATGGCTTCAGTGGTTACCATGTTGAAGTTTTGATCAGACTGCAAAATAACAACATATCATCTGTTTCTTTTCCTTAACAAAGTCCAAATATTTTTCTCACCGGTGTGAATGAAATTTGAGTAGTTCAGACTATTAGTTCAAGATGAGTTATGTTGGGTTTTTGACCAACCCGAAAAGTAAGATTTGGTCAGGACATTTTCAGAATCATCCATGTACGTCTGTAATAATTTCCATTCCCTAATGATGTTTCTGACCAAATTTGGATGAAATCCACCCAGGAATTAATTAAGAAAGAGTAGCATTTTCAAGCAAAATATTGACTAACTTCCCTTTATGGAGCCCCGCCTCTAGGAATTAATTAAGAAAGACCGCCATTATGACAATATTTAAGTATAAAAAATAAAGGGCAATAACACCTAAATTGTGCAAAAGAGAGCGTTGGTTCTTATGCCCTACACTTCTCTTTGTTAGGATTTATGTATTTATGATTCTTGTTCACTGCCCTCATTCTCACTGAGATCTACCTACCTAGGAAGTTTTATGTTGATACCTCTTATGGTTTTAGAGTAATGCTCCGGATAAAATTTAAGAATGAAAAATTGCAAAGGGCAATAACTCCTATATTATGAAAAAGAGAGTGATGGTTTTCATGTGCACTGTATTTCTCGTGCACTGAATTTCTCCTTGTTGAGATTTATCTACCTATGAAGTTTCATGTTGATGCCTCTTATAGTTTGTGTTATTCTCAGATCAAAATAATGACAGACGGACGGACGGACAAAGTGGCGACTACATGCTCTCCCTTCGGGGAGCATATATAGGAGGAAAACTATTCAAAACATACTCAATACTGATGACACGAAGCCAAATTTTGACAAGAGAAAATTTTACACAGAGACTCTTGTAAACGACCGAGGCAAATCAAGACTTCACTTTAGGAGGGAGTACCATGCTACAAGTATGTTTACATGACCTCCTAATTACAGCAAGAATATATCTTAAAACTCCCAAAATTTTCTGTTATTGTCAACAGCAAAACTTCTCTCGATTTACCTTAATACAATCTACAACCTACCCCACCACACACACATTTCTATGCTCATGATTTGTGTAGGGTTATGTAATCACCTCCGGAATGTGTGTTCAGTCGAATTTTTATATTATTTAAGAGTAAACAATTGCTGATAGAATTTCTATTACTTAAGAATGCCAGCGGCTACATTGATTAACAGTTAATGTTTGTGTAGTTTTACAAACAAGGCAGTGTATACAGTACAGACTGACGAAACACAATAGCAGTATATCTGTGCTAGTTTTCAGTCCCTAATCAAGTTCAGATTTAC